TAACACATTGTCAACACAGCAAAAACATAAAAAAGCTGAGGATGTATCTTAAATTAATTTTGATATATCATAACTTCATAAACTTTTGACCTTTGAGACTCGGTATATCTCCACTAAAAGCAGCTTTACAATAGAACAAAAGCAACCAGCTGTGGTGACAAAAACAAGATAAAATCTGAGCTCAGCAAACACGGAGCTGCACGCTTCAACACATTCTGGAAAGAATGTGTGCTCAATTGTTTGATTCGCTGTGTGCATGTTCTCAATCCAGAGCCTTGTGTTGAATTACACAAGTTACATCGCTGCCTCTGTGCCGGTGATGTTGTTGATGTTTGTGGTCGGAACATGTTGTGCCGTGAGATGTCGCCTGAACTGTAACACCTCATCATGGGCTGTAAGTAGCTTTCAGATGACAGTGAGAGCAGTAACGACAGGTTCACAGTTTCCAGCCGTGACTTCTTGTGTACCTGCACCGCCCGTCCTGCCTTTGTCCGAGTCCACAGGAAGCCGACCTGCAGGTTACAGTCTGGCTTCCTGTCCTGGCTGGGTATCTGTAGCAGGGGGGGGGGGGGGGTTTGTAGCCCTGTGAAGAGCCGGCTTTGCCTCCCTGTTTCCATGACGACCGCTCTCCTACAGTATTCAGCCGTGGGACGGCCTCTGCATCTGAAAGCAGTTCCCAGTGGTGTTTCAGACCCTCTTGCTCTTTCTCCTTCTGCTACGCTCTTCTTCTTCTTCTTCTTCTTCTTCTTCTTCTTCTACTGTCTCGGTTTTTTTAAAGAGCAGCAGCACTTTATTTTCATCTTCACTCGCCGCTGTACTTTAAAATCACCACGTCGAACATCATTTGCATCTGAATCAGGACTGAATTCTGCCTTTGTTCCCTGCTGAAATTCTCCCCAAAAACTACAACCCAAGGCTTGGACTTGGAGCCAGAACCCACTTAAAATATTTAGACTGACTGTCCTGTAAATGTGCAAATATTAGCTGAGTGAGACTAAGACAAGATTTTTAAATGAGGAGCCACTGAGCATCGTGCTCTTTGTTTATTTAGCAGGGTCATTGTGTTTCATTTTTCCACGGATTTCCCAAAAGACACAGTTAATAATCACACAGCGTGGATGTTTACTCTGAAACGAGCCGAGTTTAGTTTTGTACATTCGCAAGATGATGAAACACAAAAGCAAAGTGGTCAAAGCAGCGTTCAAGTCAAAACAGAAAGCAGGACTTTGTGTGATAAGTGAGATAAAAAACACAAACCCACAGAGGCTTTCAAAAACAAAAATGCAGACACGTTTTCACAGCTCTGAGGAGTTCTTTTTTTTTTCAGGTCAAAGCAAAACTTACTTCCTTTCTATCACCAATTCAACCATTTGGGGTAAAAGCTGTGTGACCTACATACAACAAGGTTGACTGGAAATACTTTTTATAGTCTGGGCCGTCAGATTCAGGCTGCGAAGATGACGAAGAAAATATCAAAGATGTTTTTTCACCTGCTATTCAGTTTATTGTGAAGGCAAATGTGTAAATGGAGCCTCAGGCCTCAGTTTCGTGTGTTGTTTGGTTTGGTCAAAGTGTTGCAGTGTGTTTGCTGATGTGCTCAAAGTTATGAAATGTAATCAGTCCAGTGTTGTACTCCTGGATAATGAAGCTCCAATCAAACTAGACGTTGCAAATTAAGCAAAAGGTAATCGCACACAAAACGAGCTGCCTCGGAATCATGTAGTTTCCTGTGTACTTGTGCAGATCAGGGCCAAATCATCTGTGGCTGACAGCAGAACATCATCCGTCACATTCAAGACTTTCTGCCAGTGTTGCTTTGGTTTGTTTGGAGTCTTGCTGCTGACCTTGCGTCACACACTGATGTAACTGCACCTCACAGACACATAGTGTTGATTTGAGAACACGTGCAGCTAAAGAAGGAACTCAAATGTTGTCAGTGTCAATGTTTTTATATCATTAATAACACTTTGCACTGTGTAAAAGCTTAAGTTGTGTCCAGGGCTGCAACTGATGATTATATTCATTCATGGATCAACCTGCTTTGTCTAAAAAATGTCAGAAGATCATGAAAAATGCCTGATATCATTTCCCACAGCCCAATGTAACATTAGAATATTCAGTTTACTATCAGATATGACAAAGATAAGCATCAACTCCTCGCATTGGCGAAGCTGGAACCAGTCAATGTTTGTCATTTTTGCTTAAAAAGTTTCTAAAACTATTATCCGATTATCAAAATAGTTGAAAATTAATTTTCTGTGGATCAACGAATCGGATTAATCAACCGATCGTTGCAGCTCCAGTCGTGCACACAAAGCCAAAAACAAGACTGGCAGCAAACAAGCCTGATCCACAACATGTCATGAAGAAACATCTTTTTGTTTTGAGTCACAACCTCAAAAATAAGCCAGAGATCAACGGGCGGGTTCACGGATGAGCAGGTGAATGCAGCACGGAGACGCCGAAGACAGAACAACACGGAGGATCAGACAGATTCACAGTAACACCATCATCATCATCACTCAGAGCTGTGACGTCTGCACATTTAGATCTGTGACATTTTCATATTCATCGTTGTTTGCTCGGTGAGTCATCGTGAAAGCTTTAACACACACTGCAGTGAACAGGCACGACGAGATGCTTTTATTTAGCTACTCCTCTTTAAAGTGAATTTACATCGTACTGCAGGAAGCTCAAGAACAGAATGACTGTCGCTGCAGCTTAGAAATATTAAGTCATAGCACCACCTACACATCACAAAGCACTGGGTTAGAGACACAAAACTATACTTTACCAGTTACCAGTGACTTGCTTTGAGTCAGTGTGAGACACAACAAGCTCAAGTTTTATTTACCCAGTTCTAGTTGTACAGAATAATGAGAATTTGACATTTAAAACGGGGTCAAACAGTGACATGTTTGCAACCATACCATGTTAGTTTCACTCTCTTTAGCTCTGTTTTTGGTCTCTTCCGACTCCTGATGGAGATATCTGGCTCTTTAGCTGCCGAACGCTCCACTATACATATAAGTTTATTAATAACTCACAACACTGGGTCAGAACAGCCCCTTCTGTTCCCATCTACCCTGGGTAAAGTTACCCTGTGCATTGTTGGTGATTTATTCACCCAAACTGGGTGACTTTTGACCCAGTGATTTTTCTATATGCTAAGCTAAAACCAAGCAAACTGTGGTGGATGTTGCTTGTGTTCTTTCAGGAAGCTTATAGTCTGACTCACTGGATGTAGACAGTGGGGATAAACCTGCCATTGGGCGCCTTTTTCAGGTGTCGTTTCCCTCCCTTTCTGCTTCCCCTGCCTGTTACCGTTTTTTAAATCCCCCTTTTCTGTGGGAAACAACAACATCCACAGTTAGAAGCCGATTGTGTAATCGACATATGTCTTTACTATTTTTTGTGGGTGTTTTCTTTTGCGAGGAATCAGCCATTTTGATGACAGCGCTCACCTCTGCAAGTTCCCCTCCGACTCTATTTTGCAGGAGCGCTGTCGCTGCATCCTGGGCTCAGCGCCACCAAACATGATTGTGATTGGTTTAAAGAAAATGCAAACAAGCCAACAGAATGAGAATGGTGCTGTGGAGATATGTCTGGCTGTGCGAGACTATAGGAACCTTATATAACTCTGTATTTAAACACTGTTGGCTGTTGACCTGCTCAGCAGCCACAGATGAGTACCTTGTAAATGCAGGCTGTGTTTTTATGCACATTTTGAATTTGGACATAAAAACAAAAACAAACGCTTGGCTGAGGTGGGAAAGTTGTCAAATCGATAAAATCACGATGCGACAAAGTGCAGTGGAAACAGACTTTGTGAATAAATCATGACGTACATGAAGAAGAGACAAAAACATCAGATCTGTGCGGAGCGACGAGGACACTGAAACTGTCCCCGCATTAATACATGAAACAACATAAACGTCATATCTCCATTTGTTTTCAGTGGATTAACGGCACCTGACCTGTTAATCTCGACAAACCGACCCCCAGTATTCACACAGCAGTGAGAGGAAACCTAGCTACAGTAAACTAAACTGACTGTGTGCATAGTTAGCATGGACAGCTGTAGTTAAGACGGAGGAGTGCTGCTTAATAAAGTGCATCATTTCTTCATCAAATGTCACTGGGGAAAAAACATCACAGAACCGCCCACAGTGTTTGATTGACAGGTGGTTTCTGAGTGTGACGGTTGCAGCGCAGAAACAGCACCGTGCTGAGAGCGGAGCGGAGCAGCAAAACACCATCAAACATTTAATAACGGTCCAAAGAGAGGCGCGAGTCAGCGTCTCTTAGACTTCACTTCGCTTTCATCGTCCCGGCAGATATTTGCTTAAAAAAAAAAAAAAAAAACATTTTTCAATTTTCAGATGAGGGCTGGTAACCTGCCAGAACGTCTGGTTTCACATTTACCAGTGGCATTAATGAGAGGGGGGGAGGCTGATTCATACATCAGCCCCAGAAGCAGTCACCCTGCTTCATCTTTAATGGGCTCACACAGACAGTCTGGCACTACGGAGCCGTTCCCTCTCTCCTGATTAAATCGCTGCAGCATAATGAAGCAGAAGAGAGTCAGACGGCATCTCAGAACCCCTCTGTGTACCTGCTGTATTTCATTTTTTTTTTAATATTTCTAGTCTGAACACTTCAGCCTGAACCTTTCAGGGCGAGGGGGGGGAAGAAGCAAACACACTGCGGTTGTGGCATAACAGCTGAGTGTTCCTGAGCTGTTGGGCAATACCTCCAGAAGACGGAAAGACAAGAGAGCAGCTGCTGACAGTTAAGACGTCCCTGGTGAGGGAGGAGGAGGGGAGGAAAGACGAGAAAAGGGAGGGAGGGAAACGAGGGGCAGGGTTGTTGGTGGCTGGGAAGAAGAGGAGGAAGAAGGAGGTGGAGGTGGAGAGGTTCCTCTTTTTTTTCTTTTTTTTTTCTCAGAGACGGATTTCTCTCAGTCTTCAGTGAGAGGCGGAGCGAGCCAGCAGCAAGCTCGGGGAGTTCCTTCTTTTTCTTTTATTTTTAATTTTCATTTTGATTTTATTTTTCGTGGGTTGTATGTTTGTTGCGAGCGGTGGAGCGGCGGCTTCGCGGTGCGTTCACTGTGCAGCATGGAAACCAAGTCCCTGTTCAGCCTGCACAGAGCCCTCGCTCAGCCCGTCAAGATGTGCATGTTCGATTTCCCCGTCACCATCCTGGACGACCTGGTGAGCGCCGACACTGGGAGCTGGGGGTGTGTGTGTGTGTGTGTGTGTGTGTGTGTGTGTGTGTGTGTGTGTGTGTGTGTGTGTTCATGAGACCAGTGGGTGCATTCAAACATGTTTATGTATGGATTTGTGCATGTGCTACATTATGTTTCTGTGTATATGCAGAATCTGTATGTGTGTGTGTGTGTGTGTATAGATATGTGTGTGTAAGCATACATTAAATTGTAATTGCATGTGTGTGTATGTCCCCATTTCCATCTGTGAATGTGTTTCTGTGCTCTCATGAGTGACATACTTTGAACTACAGAGCACATTTAAGTATTTATTGTGTGTGTGTGTGTGTGTGTGTGTGTGTGTGTGTGTGTGTGTGTGGGGCGGGGATCAGTGCTGTATCATCATTCCCCCTCACACAAAAAGAGCATTAAATGTATATTTTTATGCAGTTTTAGCAGTGTTTGTTTGTGCGGCTTACAGCTGTGTGCATGTGTTTATTTGTGTAAATGACTACTGAGTGTTGGAATGTGACTCTAATGTATTTAGTTTATTATTATTAGTGTGGATGACAGTGTGACCTTGTCATTGTGGATGTAAAGGATGATCACAGTTCATTGTCTGGTCTGATCCAGAGTAGAGAAGCTGATTTTACTGCATCTTTGTCCCTGGTTTGTTTTGTTTCACACCTCCGACCAATTAACAGCCAATTAGGGCTTGTGAAGAAAAGTCACATGACTCTCTAGTAGCACCTCTGGAAACTTGTCAGGTAGCAGATTCAAGCTCTGAATGTAATTGTCTTTGTTGGTGTTTTCCTTTCCTTCCTTCACCTCGTCTTGACCTCAGGTGATTGTTCTCACCTGTATTTGCTTCTGCTTAGATTCACAGTCTGTCCCTTTGACGGTGACATTTTAGACCTGAATAAAACATCTGTTCCCATGTGAACAGATGTTTTTTGTTGGTACAGTATCCGCCAAGTTTGATATCTGCTTTAACGGACGCAGCCTTCGTTCAGCTGTGTGTGTTTTTGTTTCCGAGCTGCCGCCGCCACCGAACCCCGCGCACCCGGGCAACCGCCTCCGCGCAGAGGCGGCTGTGCCCTTGATATTTTGGCATGTTTGGTCGTGTCTGTCATAATCCCGCGGCGCCTAATGAATGTTTTCCTGTTGTCAGTTTGTTAATGAATCCTGAGAGTAAAAAACAATGCGACAGATCCTCCGCTGTTGTGGGTGAACACAGCTGCTGATACGATTATTTTACATGACTGGTGTTTTTACAACTCTCTATTCAGTGATTAAATATGGAAAAAATGGCAGTTTCCCCATAAATATATATGTCTCTGGCACCTCAACCAAAAGTACACCATATGGCCAAAAGTATTCAGACACCTATGTGCACAGACCTGTGCGTAGGTTTGATCTGGGACTGTTTTTCATTGTCTAACGTCTAACTTTGAACACAATCCATCTCTTTGGACAATCACATATAGGTTTTAAGGTCTAGGTGTCCACATACTTTTGGCCATGTTGTCTGTTAAACTCTACTGTTGTCTTTAGTATTAATCCCTTTCAAAAATCTGCATGGACTTTCAAAAAATTGACACCTTTCATCATAAATAAGCTTGTGAACGCAGCTCTGATGGTTCGACGACTTCGCAGAGAAACTCTCCACCTTGGAAATACTGAACATGTGTTTACACTGACTTTCAAACTGCTGCAGAGCCACAAAGATCCTGATATAAGAGCTGAAACAGCCTCCTTTTGTTTCCAGTCCAGTGTTTGAACTTGTTTAACTGGCATCCAACACATCTGTAGATCACCTGAGGTTATATTATTGTATGAAATGTGCTCCAGCAATAATATTTAATCAGATTTGATACTCTGCTGTGTCTCACACACACACACACTCACACTCGGCCTTTCTCTCAGTGTCTCTCGGCTCCAACGCCTGATTGTGTTTCATGTGGCCTGAATTCTTCTCGGGGGTCAAACGAAGACGTTCACTTTCTCTCCCTGCGGTCAGTGTGTGTTGTCTGTTGGTGTGTGTTGTTGTCTGTTGTTGTGTTGTGGTGACGCTGGGCGATGTGGCTGAAGTAAAGTCCAGGCAGCGAGTCGAGTCTGAGACGCAGATGACATCACGGTGAAGTCATCAGGGTTGTCTCAGCTTGGGCTTGGAGACTAGAAATGTACAACAGACACTCTGTGGGTGTGTGTTTACCAGGCAGGGAGGATGTAAGGAAAAGATGCTACAGGGTGCATTGTGGGAAATGTAGTATCCTGTGATGTTTTTGGTGCTACATTTAAAGACCAATAGTAGAGTCTAAAACAATCTGGAAGACTAAATCACTGGATTTCTCTCAATACATGTCACATGAAATCACATGTTGAAGTCTCTGCAGTAGAGCTGCAATGATTAGTCAGTTAATTGACTAGTTGATCGACTGAATTAATCTGCAACTATTTTGATAATCAAATAAATATTTGACTTTTGCATCTTAAATGTGAGGATTTGATGCTTCTCTTTCTCTGACATGTTGGTTGCAGCAAAACTCGATGTAAAGCCTTGAACTCTGAGGAGTTTTTACACTTGGCTGAGGTGGAAGAGTTGGTGTATTGATAAAAGCAAAGTGGAAACAAATGAATAAGTTGAATAAATCATGATGTAAATGAAGCCTGTGAGTAACATTTACTGAAGCGTCCGCTGAGGAGACGACTGTGACCGTCCTCAGATTAACACATGAAGCAGCAGAAATGTCACATTTCCATCCACAGATTTTATAAAGAGTTTTTGTTGACTGGGGCCTTTTTAATTTCATCCTCCTCTGCTGTCGTGGTTCAAAGGCACCTGACTGGAGAATTTGGTGCAACCAGTTGTTTAATCTCGGTGAACCAACTCCTAATATTGACGAAGCAGTGGCTGGAAATGAGCGTTAATGTGGGTTTTCTGTAGCAGATTTTCTGGAAAGTCGAGTACAATTTGCATTACGTCTGGTTGGGGAACTGGCTGTTGGAATTTACGTGAAGCTCGCTGGACTGACGGAAGTTCTGTTTATATATTACTGATGACCAACAGGGAGAGTACATTTTGAAAATGTAATGCAGACTGGATCATATTTCCTCTTAACGTAATGAGGAAATGTATCAGTGATATCTGTTTGTCAGGACTCAGCGTTATTACACTTTGTCATGGTTGTGTTGAGACTCTGGGAAAGAGCATGGTCTTGGTTTAATAAGGATAATTATATATTTAATATTAACATTTAATGAAAATTGTGATTTTCCTCATCATAACCAGTGTTGTTGCCTATAAGTCAGAACATGAACTTCGGTCTCTGGTGTCGGACTTTGCATCCTCGTCATCCGCCCTGACCTCCACCCTGCTGCTTCAGAGTGCTTCATAAACGTCCGCTGCTTTCATTACGTTGCATCGGTTTGATGAATTCACATTATTACTGAGCCCCGTGGGTTACTGCTGATTAAAAAATTAAAAAAAAAAAAGTATTTTTCAGCTTCATCATCAGTCCACATGATTGGTGCAGCTGCTGTGAAAACCATGATGTGCAGAGATGTGATCAGCTGCCGAGAGCCAGCGGTGATGACAAGTTTAACAGCAGCTGCCAGAGACTGAGCTGTCAAACGAAGGAAATGAACGGACGTCTGCAGACTGCTCGATAATGCTCACATGATGTGTTCTTTTTTATCCAAGTGTCAACATTGAGACGGTTTTGAACAATGAGCATCAATGAGCATCAATGAGCAAGTGGAGTTTTTTATTGTAAAAGCTAATGATCAACAATGAAATCTGAATCGTTTTTTAATTTTTCATTTGTTGCATGGTTACACTCCTGCTCAGAGTTTAAATTGTTGTTTTTAAATGCAACGGTTTTCAGATTTTCTTCCTCGGGCGGCAGATGTGCCATTAGTCTCTCACTCTTAGCTCCCACTTGGTTCACAAAGCCTCCAGAAATGATGTGAACAAAGCCGGAGGAAGCAGGAAACCGAGTCCAGCAGGGGCAGAAGCAGATATAAGTCCAAAAAAACAAACTAACTAGACAGGAGGGTGGAGAGCAACAATAGACAAATAGACAGGGGAACGCTGGCTCGGGGGGGGGTCTGTATACAGGGGAAGTGATGAGGGAGTTGGGAACAGGTGTGCAGGGGGATGTGGAGGTGATGTGGAAAGGTGAGAACACTCTGGGGACGACTACTGGACAGGGAGGGGATGGCAGAAAGGGGGTAGAGGACATTTAGCTTCACGGTTTTTCCTCGTCTTTTTGTTTCCCCTCTGTTGTTGTTGTTGTTGTTGTTGTTGTTGTTTCTTTCATGCTGATAGGAAGCTGATTTCAGAGGGAAATATTCTACTTTTACTTGACAGCTGCAGTTACTAGTTACTTTTCAAATTAAGATTTTGCATTAAAAAAACAAACGATGAGCTTATGAAATGAATTGTTAAAGGTTAAGCTAGTTGTTTCTTTTGTCTGTTTATAAGTTGCAGTTTCAACAAAGAGACATTTCACATGGTTTCGTTTAAATAACAGTTTAAGGCTCAAATGGGAAAAACATCCAATATTTCACAAAAAACAGCAAAAGTTTGAGAAAAAATGAATAAAAATTTCTCTATCAGAACTGATTTTTTCATTCCTCTCCCACTAATCATTTCATGACCCTTTAGCTTTACGTGGTGACCCTTTGAAGGGGCCTGACCCTTAGGTTGGGAACCACTGGACTGAACTAACTGTAACTGCTCCACCTCGAGCAGCAGTGAAATGTCTGGTTATCATATATAATGATCCCTCACAAGGGGCATTATATTGCAGGAAGTACTTAAGCTTTTGATGCTTTAAGTACATTTAAATGATAATACTTGTATACTTTTACTTTAGTCGGGTTTTGAATGCAGGATCTTTTCATACTTGCATGTTTAGTTTGTTCTGTATTGTTACAGGGGACAGAGGCAGCAGTTAAAATGAAAGTGGAGCTGCATCAGTTTGTGTAGGTTAGATAGATATC